ACCCATCCATCCTTCCATCCATTCGTCCATCCGTCTGTCCATCCATCCGTCCTTTCATCCAGCCGTCCTTTCATCCATCCGTCCATCCATCCATACACCTATTCATCCGTCCATTCATCCATTTATTCACCTTTCCATCTCCCTTCTATCCAACCATCCCCCAACTTTAATTCATTTAAATTATCTTCAATTCTGTTCAATTCACTTTAAGTTACTCTAATTCCTTTTAATTTACTTCAATTCTCTTTAATTTACTTCAGTTCACTTTTAATTCACTTCACTTCAGTTCACTCAAGTCACTTCAATTCATTTAAATTCATTTAAATTCACGTCGATTCAATTCACTTCAATACACTCCAATTCACACCAATTCACTTCAATTCACGTACAGCGTTCTTTACTATCGCGGCAAGAAACTGTATCTTATAGAATACTCACCTCTTTTTCTGATACTTTGCTGTCAGAGTTTCTTTTACCGCCCCCCCCCCAAACGGAATGAAATTTATATAATTTATATAGAAAATATATACTTTTGACAGTGTCCGCCACCCCCCCCCCCCCCGAAGAAAGTTTACCCCCCCCCCCCCCCCCCCCCGAAAATTTTGCTGTCCTTCTTAAAAAGAAATAATAGATGAATAAAAATAAAAGATAGTTAATAATTTGTTTGTTTGTTTAAATAATGAATTAAATATTTTACATATTTGGAATGCATCAACTTTGTCGCTGGTAAATTTGGTGCGATTTCTTAAGTGAACATAAAAAACGTTTCTATGCTGCGTTTCTGTTATGAGTAGATTATAGAATACTTTTATATGAATAATTTCTTGAAATAAAATAGTAGCCTATATTGCTTTTGTAGGTATGTTGCCATGTGGCTAGAATTGTGCGTAGAAGGGTAAAAATTTCAGTTGATGCCAAACGGCATCAAAATAATGAAGTTCAATATAAACAAAGACAACCCTGCTCTAAGGAAATAACAACTAAAGATTTATTAAACACGAGTCGACCCGCAGCGTATCATACGCCGCTATTTAGTTGTTTTTTTTTCTGCTTGTCTGTAATTCATAATTTGTGAGTTCAACATTATTTCATGAACTTGGTTGCTTTAGTAAGTTTATTATGGCTACGAGATCTACAAAATTATTTTTAAAATAATAGAAACTGGCTTTTTACATGCTTTTTACCTCTTCATATTATTGTGACAACTAGAAAATCTACCATGTATTCTAGATATTGTAATACTTGGTGTAATACTTTACACATTCATAAATATTATGATGGCTGCCAAAATTGTTTCTTGCAAATGCTTTTTTTGATAAAACTAAATGGTTGAATAATTTTAAAATTTATTTTTGTGCACAGTGCGTACAGAACTACTGAAGTTATAGGCTTTTGAAAAACCAAAAGTAGAATAAATTCCACTTCCAGTTACGGGATATCGCTGAAAAGTTTATTTAGAACTACAAATTCGATGTAATGCTTATAAATGAAATTTCCTCAACCTAGCTGTAACTGTAATCAAGTTATCGTGTTCACAGACACAAAGACAAGATTGCAAAATTAAGTTTTTCCGACTCGATGACGCGTAAAATGCCGAGATTTTGATAAATCTTGATTTATATTATTTGCTCGATTAAAATAAGTTCAATAAACTCCGTAAATGATGAAGTACCAAAGTGTAAAACGGTGAAAACTGTCAGAATTTCATGTGATTTTTGTGCACGATTACAATACTTCCTCTATAGCCTACTCTGTATACGAGGGGAGTCGGGTGTTTTATTAATTCAACAGACACCATTTCTTCAGTTAACCTTGATATTTTATTATGCTAGACAGTCATCCTAGACGACATGACTTTTCTCTAGCTGTGCCTGCAGTTAACTAACTCATAGGTGCACATTAACTACATGGATGACATAGTGAACACTCAAGGGACGCAACCATAATATACATAATAAACGTGTCGTAAAAATCACTAAAAAGACATATTGAAACACTGGACGTTTTCCCGAAAGACACTTGCCTGAATGCCTTTTGCCCGAAGGTCGACTATTCGAATGAACACTTGACCGAATGCAACTAATGCCCGAATGAGACAAATGCAGGAATGGAATTTTGCCCGAAAAAAATTAACATTATGTACTACCAAAATAGACCTTCTTAATCAATTTAAATTCGAAATGTGATAATCAATAAGTTAGTAAGCAAAAAAAAAAACAAAAAAAAAAGAAAAAAAAACCGGGAGTGATCTCCCCTAAAGTTTCTAGAATATTCTTATATAACAATAAGAGGGATGCCAACTCGAGATATAGAAAATATTTTTAATCCATTTTTAATTACTTAAACTTTTTATAATAAATTAGAATCTCGTAGAAAAAAGAATTGCACACCAAATGAATGCCAAACATGTGCATAATAGTGCGGGATATTATAGTACTTTATAAATTCATATGCGCTTTTTTTTGAGAAATCGAAAATAGCGCGAAGTACTACTTCCGGT